AAGCTTAACCGTAGTACCTTGTCTGTCGTTTTTAATGAAACATGCATATATATATATATATATATATATATATATATATATATATATATATATATGAGAAATGCGAAAATTTGTAAATTTTAAATATCTCATCTTCTTCAAATGAGACTTCCTCATCCAGAATTGGAATTGAATCCTCAGATTGTAAATTTAGCTCTGTGAAATTGAAGACAAACTGATGGACATGACTCAAAGATATCTCAGCAATGTCAGGTTGCCAAATGGTAATAGTGAAATTGTTCAAATCACCAAAGAAATTTTGAGAAAAACATGATACAACATGGACGATCGGCGGCAATGTTTTCAAAAGAATGAGTCCCTATTGAACCAAGACTAACAGCGGGTGTATCAGAAGGTCCTTGATGACATCAGCAACTATAGTGGATGTTTTTCTCATTTGGTGCACCTGGAGATTCAGGTAAAATTTTGTAACTAAACTTCTTTTATCTACGGTGAGACCCTAAAGAAAAGTAGCTCTAACCGTAGCATCATCTGTAATTGCTGCTACTCTCTTACCTGGAGGACGTACAGCACATACCTCCTTCAAAATTCCATTGGATTTGAACTATAATGAAGCCCCTATTGCAAATTAAAAAATGAGAGCAATTTGGATAATCTACTCGAAGAGCCAAGCTTCATTGTCTGCAGTGAATATATTATAGTACACAAGCGAGCATTTGAGGCCCTGGACAAAACACACAAAGACAGAATTCACAAATTATGGGGGGCATCACTGTACTACTCTTTGGTGATTTTAGACCAAAATCGCTAAGAGGAACTCCAGCTGATGAAATCAATGCTTACTTTAAGAATTCTTTCATCTGGACTCATGTTCAAAGACTCAGCCTGAAAACAAACTTGACGGGTAGAATCACAGGTGACTTTGAAGCAGGAAAATCTGATACTTTACTGATGCAACTTGGCAAATGGAACCAGCAAATGGACCAAAATACAGCTATTCCACTCCCAAATGATTGTGGAGTTTTTATCCCAAGTATCTAAGACTCGATTACCAATATTTTTCCAAACATTAAAAACTATATTACGGATTCAAACTGGCTTTGTGAGTGCGTCATATTAGCTCCCAAGAATCGAAATGCGGATGGAAGTTTCTCCAAGACATTCAAAAAGAAAGCCTGAAATACTTTTCCATTGACATTGCGGTTGAACAAGAGCAGGCAGTGAAATATCCAATCAAGTTCCTGAAGTGATTAAATCCTCCTGGAACGTCAGCACACAAGCTGTAAACTATAAGAAAATGTGCCAGATATGCTATTGAGAAATCTGGAACCAGCAAAGCTTTGTAATGAATCGAGGTTTATTGTCAAGAAGACGCTTCCTCATTTCTTGGAAGCAGAGATATTTACTGGTTCCGGAAAGAAAGAAAGAAAGAAAGAAAGAAAGAGTTTAATTCCAAGAATTTCCTTAATTCCTCTGTAGGGAGATCACAGTTGCTTTCCCTTGAGTTGAGCTCATGGGAGTTTTGGCCCCTTTTAAAGAGTAGAACTCTTCTGCCCTTTTTATCTTTGCTTCCGTTCTGGGAGGAACGGCCTCTTTACTTTCCTGACCATCAGGGTGTCCACACACGTGGAAACTGGTCAACATGTGTACGGCCTAGAGAAAGAAAAACGTAATTTCTGTTCACTTATCTGTGGACGATCAAAGGCCATAAAGTTGGTATAATATTTCTTTGTTCTAGTTCTGTCAACCTCCTCGTTCCTTTGGGACAATATGGACAATAATTTGTTTTGGGACATATGTAAATCTTTTGAATATATGTACGTAAGTTGTTTGCCGTATGAAATGTTTTATTTGTTTTGCTCCCGTATTTCGTCTTTCTATATTTGTATTCAGTGTTAGTGTATCAATGGCTACACTAATGCTAATATTAGTATCGGTGTACTAATGGAAGGCTAAAACACGTTATTCTTCCTAACACAAAAGAGTCGGTAAACTCCGTGTGGCAGATACCGCCATATTAATACCTCCATATCTTCTTTTTGATTTCAAAAACTTCAATTTCCAGTGATAGTGATCTATGGAATGTCAATCAATAAATCCCAACGGCAATCATTGAAATTAATTCGACTTCATTTAATAGAACCCTGCATTTCACACGACCATCTCTATGTTCGTTGTTCAAGCATTGGAATGAAAATAAGCTCATTTACTGACCCAAATTAGAGAACCAAAAATATTGTTTATCATGCAGTTTTTTAAAAAGTTTCAAACAGACAAGTTATATCATTGTTTTGATGAAAACTGTTAATTGTTTAAAAAATATACTTCAAGTTTAATAAAATTTGATTAGCACAACATCGTCATCAGAGTCTTGGTTTTTCTAAAATAATTTTTTTTTTATCATTTGTCTAAGATAAAATTTAATTTCCAGATGAACGCAACAAGTTTGTCTTAGAAACATAATGAACACAAGACGGTGATGAAGACATTATCCCATGTCGAAAGTACTCGGAATAAATGAATATGCACCAACATAGCAATTTTCTATCATTTTTAATAAGGATACTAAGAAACTTGTAAGAATCCTGTAAAAAGTAAGTTTTCTAAATTATTTAATAAGACATGTCTATATATATATATATATATATATATATATATATATATATATATATATATATATATATATATATATTAAATAAAACATAAGCAGGACAGACTGGGTTCTATAGCCTTGGATGGCAACTGGTCTAGGAGAATGACAACTCTGAATTCAAACATCTGGAGTGTTTTTTGGGGACTATGTGGCACGTTGTGCATCAGGTCTCTATATTTGGCCTTCTAAAAGTGTGGGTGGTTCTGCACAAAATCTTCACCACTATAATCAAAACTCGGTTTCCTAGGAAGTGATCTTGACCCTCATACGTCGAATACAACGGGAGAGTCGAGTATATATGAGATTTTTCGTTGAATAATTTAGACAGGATATGTCTACTTATTTTGAAGTGGATCCTTTCATATTCACGGATAAGCTTTTTAGTGTCATTATTGAAGCACGAAAGAAAATCGCCGTGTTGATAAGTATTTTTTTTTCATTCCGAATACTTTCGACATAGTACAATGTCATCATCAGGATATTGTTAATTGCATGACAAATATTGTAGTGTTCATTATTTCGAAGACAGAATTGTTGTGTTTATCTGAATGTTAACTTTCTTACTTGTCTCGTGAGGAATCCTGACTCAGTGCGTGATCGCTGCCACAGTTTAAGGGGAGGTAACTAAGTATGTATATGGACAGTTTCTACGAAATCAGTAGTAAAAACTAAAGAAAAACGAAACTATTAATGCAAACCTTGGCATTTCAAATTATCTATTGTACACATTTTAAAACATTGGTGGATTAGTAGTAATTAATTTTATTAAGGTTTTTGTTTCAACATTTTAATATACACAGCTTCGAGAATTGTAGTTCATGTTTATTTTTTCATGAAAATTATAAAAATATTTTCGACAAGAATTTTCTGAACTGCAATTACGGGCAGTTATCTTGTAAATGTTTAGAAATGTTCTACACATTATATATATATATATATATGTGTGTGTGTGTGTGTGTATATATATATATATATATTGTTAAAAAAAACAATTATGTAAATTTTTGTAACTTTGTATAATATTTTATGCATTACACCCTAATCTTTATTCGGTAAACATTTCATTGCTAATCATGGATTACTTTTTAAGTAATACACATATTAATGTCTTTGTTGTTTCCGTTCCTTATATTATGGTCGCTACTCTCTCTCTCTATATATATATATATATATATATATATGTGTGTGTGTGTGTGTGTGTGCATGTGTGTGTACGTGTGTGTACATTGAGGTCAGCATCTTGTAGTGACAGTCTGTGCTTGAACTCAATCGTCAGGGAGCATATTTGCCATGAAGTGATCTTCAATTTGAAATATATATATATATATATATATATATATATATATATATATATATATATATATATATATACCTGCAAACACTCCAACGAGTGCTCCGGATGGCCTCGTCAGTGATGTTATGACTTGGGGTCATGACAAGTTTCAGGTATTCCAACATCATACTTGTTCACCCAATAGACCCTACTGAAACATTACTATTTCGGCATGCGATTCTGAATATATATATATATATATATATATATATATATATATATATATATATATATATAATGTAGTGAAACAGACAAACCTACCTTGGTTTCACCTAAACGGATCGTCAGGGAAAGTTTGTGGCAACTTTCCCTGACGATCCATTCAGGTGAAATCCCAGGTAGGTTTGTCTGTCTCACTAGGTGTATCTAGGTCTGCTCTACGGTTGTATTGAGCTCTTTTTTGTTAGTTAGTTGTTACTCGTATCGGGTTTTTTCTTTGGGCTTCAGACCTGCATCTGTGCGATTTTTTTTTGTCGGCAGAAGTTCATGTTTGTAGCTCTTTCTTTTTTAAAACCTTTTTTCCCTCGAGATTGATTTGATTATTAGCAAATCAAAAAATTCGAGGGTTTTTGAAACGAGTCTAGTTATCTATATATATATATATATATATATATATATATATATATATATATATATATATATATATATTAGAACATTATTGTTTTATTCGCATCATTGTTCTAAAAGAAATGAGCGGTGATCGACTGCATTGAATCATGGTGTATCAATGATAATTGCCAGATCAGTAGCTCTTGTGATGATCATTCCAGACTGTAGACCGATTTACGTGTGAAGAACAACATCTGTTTGAATGACACCGAAACACTGAGTATTACAGACGGATTATATTTCAGTGATTAATGGACTATCTACTCATGGATGAGGAAAATATTGGAGGCAACAGAAATGTGGTTTTAATGAAGGATACTGGGAATGTCATAGTCATAGCAAGTAAGTAACTAGCGTCGCTTTTGGAAAATGGCCACAAAAAGAACACTTGGAAATTTCTTTCTTTCATTCTAATAACAATTTTCCAAACGAAAACGGGGAACTGAGTCTAATGAAAGAAAGAATATTAGAAAGGCTGAAACAAGAAAACCAAAAAATACATAAAGTATCAATGAAAGAAAAAAATAAGGAAAGAAAAAGGAAGTAGAAAAGAAATGAGGAATGAGATAAAGAAATATTCTGAGAGAAAGAAAGAAAGAAAGAAAGAAAGAAAGAAAGAAAGAAAGAAAGAAAGAGAGAAAAGAAAGAAAGAAAGAGAGAGAGAAAGAAAGAAAGAAAGAATGAGAAAGGAAAAGAAATAAAGAATATAAGAAAAGAAAAAAAAATATAAGCATAAAGAAAGAAACAAAAACGAGATGAAACGGAGAAAGAATAAAAGAACGGAATACAGAGGGGGGAAAAGAAAGAGAAAGAAAGAAAGAAAGAAAGAAAGAAAGAAAGAAAGAAAGAAAGAAAGAAAGAACGAATATAAGAAAAAAAGAATATACAAATAAACAAAAAAAGAAAGAAAACAAAAAAGAAAATAAAGCAATTATAAGAACACTGAATGAAGAAAGAAAGAAAGAAAGAAAGAAAGAAAGAAAGAAAGAAAGAAAGAAAGAAAGAAAGAAAGAAAGAAAGATGAATGGAAGAAAATATAAGTCCAACCATAAAAGACAGACTGGATGAGAAAAATGAAAATATGTAAAGAAAGACAGAAAGTAAAACCAAATTATGCTGCGATTGGTTGAAAGAAAGAAAGAAAGAAAGAAAGAAAGAAAGAAAGAAAGAAAGAAAGAAAGAAAGAAAGAAAGAAACAGACAAAAAATACAGCATCAATGGTAACAAGAAATAGAGAAGAAAATACGGGAGTACAAAAGAAATGCCAAAAGAAAGGAAAAAGAACTACAAGACGACAGACAGGCAGACAGACAGAAAGAAAGAAAGAAAGAAAGAAAGAAAGAAAGAAAGAAAGAAAGAAAGAAAGAAAACCAAAAGTCGTGTGAAGAAAGAATGATAATTAAAACAAGGCAGGAAATAAAAAAACTGATAAAAACAACAAAAAGAAAGAGACACAGTACGAGAAGAAAGAAAGAAAGAAAGAAAGAAAGAAAGAAAGAAAGAAAGAAAGAAAAATCAAAAGAAAGAAATATAGCCCGAAAAGAAAGATAAAAAGAAAGAAAGAAATATACATCGAGAAAAAAGAAAGACAGCACAAATGGAATAAGGACCAAAAAGAAAGAAAGAGACACATCACGAGAAGAAAGAAAGTAAGAAAGAAAGAAAGAAAGACAGAAAGAAAGAAAGAAAGAAAGAAAGAAGGAAAGAAAAAAACCAAATGTGTAAAGCAAGAAAGGTCATTAAGAAAAAGGCAAGAAAGAAAAAAAAGAAAGAAAGAAAGAAGAAATTAACCAAATAAAAGGCGCATATGCGGAAACGAAGTCATTAAACAGGCGTTTATGGGAAAGGTACCAATATGAAGCGAGAGAGAGAGAGACCAGAAAATGCGAGCAAGCGAAGATATGGAAAGCAAAATCAAAACAACAACAAAAAAAGAAATAAAGTAATGGTAGCAACAAAGTCACTACAACTACTTACTATTTGAAATAATCAGATAGTAAAATCGTGAAACATTACAAGTGACGTTTTTCATTAGCGACAATAAACTGACATTTTTTTTGTTAACGTTTGCAGTCATTAAAATCTGCGTTCAACGAAAAGCGAACATCACTTCGCGTCAAAATCGTTAATTGGTGACGAATTTATGGCCAGGATTCCATAAACGCATTCGAAGCCAGGAATTACGAATTGTTCGAAGAGCCACCCGCCTAACTTCCAGAAGACGTTGTCGTCGATGCTTCAAGCCAAGTGAAGTTTCGCTATGGGCCAACTGCTATAAAAATGTCGCAATGAAAGACAGTTTGAAAAAAAAAATGAGGAGGATAGACAGATACAGAGGTAGATAAAAAAAGAAAGAAAGAGAGAAATGATGCCAGAGAGAAACATTGAAGAATATATGCGAGAGAAAGATTTAATTATGGACTAAACAAGGTTACAAAATCATTTTGCATTGTCACATATATTCAATTCTCCGGACATAATCTATGTTCGAATCCTGCTCGAAATCTTTATTTTCAGTTTTATGGCGATGCTTTGTCCAGTTTTCCATTAGAGCCAAGAAGAAAAACATGGTTTGGTAGCGTTCGTTTATATTCTTCGACTAATGGAATTCTTTCTCTAGATAGCACGCAAAGACTATAGTTTACATGGATTTTCGATCTTTGTTTTCAATTAACTGACATTTCGAATTCTAAGGGTTATATCTGTAACGATAATATATATATATATATATATATATATATATATATATATATATATATATATATATATATATATATAGTCGATTCTCTCCCGTCGAGTTCGCCGTATGAGGTCAAGCAGCAAGCAGATCAGTTCCCGGGCAACTGACAGCCCGACAACGGCACATGAGATTTGATTATAGTGGTAAAGGTTTCGTGCAGGATCAAACACACTATATATATATATATATATATATATATATATATATATATATATATATATATATATATTTAGGCAGCAGTTTTTTCATTGACGCATATTTCATTAAATAATATACACAAGTTTTTTTTCTATTTATTTTAAATAAGTTCCTTTCATATTGTGTGATAAGCTTAATAACATTATCCTTGAAAGACGAAAGGAAACCACATATTGATACATGATTAAATCAAATCTAAGCTTTCGGCTTACATAAGCCATTATCAAAGATGACAATTACATTTCGATATACCAACCAATACACCGTCGAAACAATAATGATAGTCTGTTTTTGTTTGTCGTAAAATTTCAAAGCAACTACAAAATCGTGTTTACGAGACGCGGAAGCGAAAATCGCGTCGCAGCTCGTGACGTCACACATGACCACGCGAGAGTGAAAACGAGAAGTATTAAGTATGTGAAGCCGTTCCTCTTTCTAAGATAATGTTATTAAGCTTATCAGACAATATGAAAGGAACATATTGAAATAGACAAAACTTGTCTATATTATTTAATGAAAATATATATATATATATATATATATATATATATATATATATATATATATATATATATATATATATATATCAACGTATGAGGGTCAAGCAGATCAGTTCCCAGGAAACCGATAACCCGACAATGGCATATGAGATTTGATTATAGTGGTGAAGGTTTCGTGCAGGACCAACCCACACTTTTACATATATATATATATATATATATATATATATATATATATATATATCAAAGTGTAGAAGAACGGATAGTAATATTAAATCAGTGCTCAATGCACAAAGTACATCCGTAAATATTTATTTATCTGATGCATTGTTGCATTAGAACATGCACATATCCACTACAAAGTTGTACATTATGTTTCAACGTCAAAAAAGGACATTTTGTAGTGTATATGTGCATGATCTAATGTACCACGGCATAATATATATATATATATATATATATATATATATTGATATTGATATTATGTAGATATGTGAATATATTTTTATATGTGTGTACATGGGTATATATTTGTGTGTATGTAGGTACACGCCTATGTGTATATACGTGTATATCTTATTGTGTATGTGTGTATTCGCATGTGTTTTTGAACATAAAATATAGGTCCTTGCTGGATTAGATAATCGTTATATTTTTTTTTATATGTTTATATTTGATTTGTAACCTGTAGTCGATATTAAATTTGTCAAATTTTCTCAATTGCAAAGCGGCCCTTTAAGTAAACGCAATTTCACTTTCCTTCGCCCCATCTCTCTCCCTCACCTCGTCTTTCCCTCCCTCCTCTTCTAACATTAAATTGTCTATGGTGTGTGTATGTCACCACGAAATGTATCTTTATACATCCGACAACATTCTTTTTTTTTTCTCACTTAAACCCCTTCCACCCACCTCTCCTAAAATTCTCTCTGTTAAGATTTAATCTCCCTCCTCCTCATACTTACACTCTCTCTAAATTCTGTTTTTATTTCCGGAGTGTTTTTTTTCGGTTTTCTTTTTGAATTTGTAGGTCTGATTAATTGGATCGTATTTACGATTCCAATGGAATAAATTATGACCATGGAATATTAGTTTTTAAGCCTTTATTATATATATATATATATATATATATATATATATATATATATATATAATATGGATCGACCAACTGATTTCTTTGGTGACTTCGTCGGCTCGACACAAGAACCGAAACGTCTTTAACTTGCGAAGGAAAGGTTCCAAAGCAACAACGTAAAGCAATGGCGAAAGGCGAAATAACAAATTTAACAAGATATAATGAAAAAAGACAAGAAACTTATATCGGTTGATCTTGGCACCTGTCACAGTCTCATACCCTCTGATTTATTTGCTGACTTCGTCAATCTCGGCTCTACTTGACACAAGAACCGAAACGTCGTGAGCAAAGGCGGAATACCTGGACGAGGTGGTAGTACCAAGTAGAGAAATTCCGCGTAGGACCGGATTCGTCTTTAACTTGCGAAGGAAAGGTTACAAAGCAAAAGCGTAAAGCAAAAGGGAAAGCGGACAACTTTGACAAATGGAGCGAGACAGTAAGAAAGGCTCCTATAGAACCCCATTCACTTCCACCAGCGCAGCGGGGAAAGCATATATAAGTCGGATCCATGAGCGAAAGTACGGCTCAAAACCGGCCGCCGAAAAAAACAGCCTCCGGAAATCGATGGTTCACTCTATATAATGCCTTGGACTGATCAAAATTGATCAGCGCGGCTTCACTGTCGACTTACTCGATGATCAAGCGTACCATATGAAGGTTGTCCTGGATAGTCTTTCCCTTCACGGCACAAGTCTGTTCGGAGCCAATCACACTAGAGAGGATATCCTGCAAACGGTTGGCTAAGATCCTGGCTAAAAACTTTAACTCTGTATTGACATCGTTAACGGTCGAAAGTTACCTATCCCATCCCCAACTTGTTTGTCCTTACGAAGCAACTTGATCACACCTCTGTTGAAGCGTTGTTGAAAAACAACACATACTTACTTACCATTCTTACTGCAACAGTCATAAAACCTCAAGTTCCTATGCAGTCCTAACTAGTTCCCATATGTACAATAGAGGAAAGTAATATTTATTTTGAAAATACAAAAAAATAGCACAATGTGACGGTTACACACCTGGCCCAGGGTCGAATCCCTTGGTTACGGCGCCAACTGTGACGTCGCTTCTCCTGGTCGCTCCTCCTGGTTCCAAGCGTGCCGCTCCAACCCCTTGGTTGGATGATCACCAGCCTCGCCTTTCCCAACTCGCTTCCAATACCTGGTCACTAAAGCAACTGTACCGATCTCCGGTCTGTCTACCCACGCTGTGTTTAGATCTTAGACAGACGGGACCAGCAGGGATTGGGGCCGATACAAGTTGAGTCCGACGGGGGTGGCAAAACACAAATAAAAGAGAAAATAAACTCACGAGACAAAAAGATTGCTGATGAAAAAAAAGGGTAACAACCTTTTATATCTTAATGTCCGTTACATAAAAAACAAAGTGTTCTCAATTCCCGACCCGCTCTGTGGACTATGGCACTGAAGCTTCTATCACACAACCTAAAGATTTCGAATTGCCTACTCTTTAGAATTGTGTATGTCGGAGTGTGGTTTGGTTCGACACTGGGGCTAATTTCTAACGATCATTCGCAGTTGATTCTTCTCTTCGACTTGAGTTGTATTTCTTCTTCTTCGTCGACTTAGGCTGGAAGTTCTCTTGTCTTCGACTTGGGCTGGAAGGATCTCTTGCCGCAACTCAG